TTAAAGAGACTGTGGTTGAGCACAAGTTAAAGAACAATTACTAACCTCTAGACAAACATTAACATTCTATGCGGTTAGGGTACATTGCACAAGTACAGTGTATAAGAATAGAAGGAATAATTTTGCCATTTTGCATTGTCAATACGCTATGCTAAGCAACTGTTGATGAGTATACAAACGGGATTTTCCCAAGAGAGAAGCATTTCTTAAATGACATGGAATCTCAGGGTAAAATGGAGTCTGTTTAGTCATTGCCCATATAGCCTGGCCCATAAAAAAATGAGATAAAGATATTCTGCAAAATATGAATCTGCAAAATATGGCAATAGTTTCTCCCATCCTCATATAGCCATCTTGCTCGTTCCACCAAGAGTTCCAATCTGTTTTCCCTCCCCTTGAGCTGAGGTGACGAGATGGGCAGTTCTTAGCCTGGGCCTTAAGAGGTCTAATAACTTTCGCTTTTGCTCTTGGAAGTCAGCTTCTGTGTAAAAAATGTCAAGCTAGATTATGATATGCCACATGGAAGACACCTGCATATCCCAGCTGACAGCCAGTACCACAGTTGTAGAAACTTGTGGCCTCTGGACCCTTCAGCCCTAGTCAAGCTCAATCAATACCTGCAGAGCCCTGCCCCAAGTGTAAAATCATGAGCAAATAAATGGTTGCTGTTGTTTTAGGTCACTAATTTTTGAAGTGGTTTGTTACTTAAAACAAATAACTGGGGCTAAGGATAAAGCTCAGTGATATAGAATGTTCGCCTAGCATGTGTGAGGTCCTGGGTTCTATTTACAGTACTACAAAAGAAAAAAAAAAGAAAAGAAAGAAAGAAAAATCAAATAAACAGCTTTCCATGCTTACTGTAGCACTGAATTAAGTGCTTTATCTCCTTTAATCTTCATATTACAAATGAAGAAGTTGAAGTTTATAAACACCCACCCCCAAGTCACGCACATGGTAAGCAGCAGAGCTGGTTTGACTCCATGCCTTCCCTATTTCTTCTCATCTTCTTCACCCAGTGAGTCTAAGTTAGAATCATGGATTTAAGGGGAATTTTTTTTTCCCAGAGGCAATAAATAATAGGCAAGATTTTGAAGAGGAAAAAGGGAATGTGATTTGGCTAAAAAGCATGTGGAAGGGCCTTTCTGTTCAGACCCAAAGTCTGTTTTCAGTTGAGGCAAAATATCTAGTTCAGTTCTTTTCAACTGGAATTCCTCTAGAATTAAGCTGATGCCACAAGGTATCTATTGTCTGTCATAAATTAACTTCTTTCTATGCAACTAAAATGCTACTGCTTCTGTTACTATCCTTGGGAAAATTGAGAAAATAGTCACATAAATCATTTATAAGGCCTAATTCACTATGGAACCCAAGAATGTGGGGATGGAGCAACCTGTGTGTGGTGCATGACTAAAATCCCAGCAAATCAGGAAGCTGAGAGAGGAGGATTGCAAATTTGAGGCTAGCCTCAGCAATTTAGTAAAACTTCCAGCAACTTAGCAAGACCCTGTCTCAAAATAAAAAGATAAAAAGGTCTGAGGATGTAGCTCAGTGGTAAGGTACCCCTTGGTTCAATCCTTAGTACCAAGGGTGGGGGGGAATGTAGGGGTAAAGGCCAAAGTCCAGAGCCAGTCAGCCAGGTACACAATGGCAAAGATGCCTCCATCCAGCTGAAGCAGAGTATAGGTCAGGAAGAAGTGAAATACCCCTCAGTTATAATGCCCTAAGGGTCCATCAGTGAGACCTCTGGCCTCTGCTATTTGCTGAATCACTTAAAGAGACCTCCCTTAAAGTTCATACATCCCAAACCTTCTTAGTAAAAGAAAAATCTTCACACTGAACAAGACCTCCAGTTAATCCTTCTGCATTTAAGAAATACTGCCCTGGAATCCTTAACTTTCTCATTTATGCATTTGATGTTTATGGAGTTCCTTTTGAGCTGAGTTCTCCTATGTGCCTGGGAAGGAATGTAACTTTTTCACTAACTTATTATTTGTCCAAAATATTAATCAGCTGCTTATATACACAGTTTTAGGGTCCAAGAGAGGGGAACAAATATCAAATATTTTCCTTAATACTGCATGAAGAATTCTTGTATCTGAAATCTGTACTTTCTGGCTTTGCTTTCATTTTGGTAGAGAAAAAGTAGTTTTACTGGGGTTTTGTTTATTTTGTTTTTGTTTTTCTTTATGAACTGCAACAGTTTTCAAGATCATAATTTGGAGACAGAAAATTGAGGGAGTTTCCTTAGGAGAAACTAACAATTTGCTAAAACTTAAATGTAGAGTCCCCTACTCAGGTTGCTTTGGGGAATAAAGAACATGGTTACTAACAGCTCTTTCTCCTCTAATCTTTGTTGCTACTTGCCTGGGAGATGAAGCTACTGACTCTGGCTTTTCCACCCCCATAGACTTTGAATCCTGGAAGCAACTTTAAAATGTCATCTCTGTCACAAGAAAGTAAGGAGCTGAAACTCCAAACTTCAGTTCTTGTGTTTCAATGTAAGAAAATTCAAAGTCAGACACCAAAAGTTATATAAGATAACTTTATTATAAGCGAAAGTAAAGTAAAAGTAAAGTGAGGCTTAAGCAGAAAGCACTCTCAAGGGAGAGTAGGCTTTCTCCAAGCTGAGAGCAACATAAGAGATAAGGCTATCCCCAAATTTATTGTTTTACAAGTTAACTTGAGAACTGGGGTCCTCCTGCAGCAATTTTCACCAACTGGGTATTCAAATCCTCCTTCATGTTGGGTGGTGGAGTTTTTGCCCTTAGTGTATCCTCAGTTATGGTGGTCATCCTATTTATAGGGGCTTCATCTACAAGTCAATCCCATGTTAATGTGGGCATTGGGGTCAATAGCTGATCAGAAGTTACCTTAGTGTACCTGGGGAAGGAGGGAATCTTCCTTCCCAGACAATTGAAGACACTTATAACCATAATTCCTGTCTTCACATAAACCTCAGTAGATCCTGTCAAGAGTTAGTCCCATTAATCCTTCTCTCTTGAAGTGTTTTACAAATAGTTCCCTTACTTTGGGTTGTTTTCTACAGATTAACTGCCACCATTTGATTTCTTAAGATGGTTTAAAGAAGGACACTAAAGCAATTTAAAGAACACTTTATAACCTTATCATAAAGAAGAACCTTGAAATAATTTAAAGAACACTTTATGACCTTACCATGCATTTCACTGCTCTTGCTAGCTACTTACCTAACATCTGCATCAACAAAAAGGGGTAATCTCTTTTTCTGTGCTCTTCCTCACATAAATTTGAAAGTTCTGGGCCTCCCACCTTTTCCCTTATCACTTCCCTAAAATTCCAAGGCTCCTTTGCTTCTTGAGGTATTTATTACATATCCCTCCTACAGACCTCACCACTTCAAATTTACAGTTAGAACCTAGGAAGGAAACAAAAAAGCAAAAACAACGGTTATAAACTCTAAGGACTCAGGCTCTTTGTTTACAGGAAAGCTCTGCAACCATGGTTAGGAGCTTTTCACTTTTAAAATTTTTAGAACATTTCCAAGAAGTTCTGTTAACTGGTGGCCCAGCTTATTCACTTGCAACATTTAGCAAACATCCCCTAGTAAGTAAGCTAAAGCAGTTTATAAACACAGCTTTTAGTTCCGAGGTAGCTAATTACAAACACCCCCTCACAATCTGTGGGCACAACATATAAAACTTGATGCTGATAATTATCCTTCTAATTCTTCCTCATTTCTCAAGCGAACAGAGGCCCAAGAGGGCAAATATACTCAATCCTGCCCTGCTTGTAAAAGGAGTCATTGTTACATTTGAACCCAAATCTCCCTGGGTAAAAAGCCAGTTGTTTTCTGAAAACCTTGGCTACCTGAGGTTCCGATTGTTCTTGCTTTAAAAAAAAAAAAAAAAAAAAAAAAAATCAGAGATCGGAGGGGGCTGGGATATAGCTCAGTCGATAGAGTGCTTGCCTCGCATGCACAAGGCCCTGGGTTCAATCCACAGCTCCGAGTGGGTGTGGGGGGAGAATCAGAGGGCCGGACGCCATGGTGCATGTCTAAAAACTTCAGTTACACTTGGTGGCTGAGGCAGAAGGGGATCACAAGTTCGAGGCTAATCTAGGTAATTTAGATTCTGTCTCAAATTTAAAAAGGGCTGGAGATACAGCTCAGTGAAAGCGCCCCAGGGTTCAATCCAGTGTGGGAAGGAAGAGAGTTAGCAATGGAGGATGTACTTTTTTGAGAACCTCAATATACTTAAAATATAAAATATACTTAAAAGTGCTTCCTTGGTGGCCATCCTATTTAGGGGGGCTTCATCTACAAATCAAAAAATCACATGAAATAAAATTCAGCAATCAAGGAGTTCGCACAATGCGCCCAAGGAAACGAATTCCCCTCCGCAGAGCAGTAGTTTTAGGGCCTATCGTGGCTCTCGAGAGCGGCCTCTGCGGAGGACCCGGCCCATAAACACTTGGTCTCCTCGGCTCCGCGGGAGGAGGAGAGGGCGGAGAAGAGGGATGGGCGGGGCGCAAAGCCCATTCTCATTGGCCCGTTCCCTCAAGCGCCGCCACGAGGTTCCGCCCCTGCCGGGCCCTCAGGCGCAGGGCTCTAGGTCTAGGAGCCAAGGAGGGACTCCGGAGTACACGCGCGCGCACTCGCGGCCTCCTCTCGCAGCCCAACTTCCCCCTCGCGGCTGGAGTCTTCCTGGGAACGCCTCTCCTACCCATCCCACCTTCGACCCCATCGGTAGGCTTTCGGTTGGCTGTCCGTCAGAGCCCCGCCCCCTGAGGATCGCCAATCACCGTGCGCATGTGGCAGAAGTGGGTGGGTCCTGAGAAATTCGAAAGGAGCCCCGCCCTCTGGGAGCCGATTCCCGAGACTGGATTGTGGAAAGAAAGCTTCTGAGTGGAAGGTAAGGTAGGGACGGGAAGTGGAAACTGCGGGTGGGCGGGAGGTGTGGTTCCCGTGTGGTGCCGCGAGAGTGGAAGGGTGGCTTATGAGAGGAAAAACCCGAAGGATAGTGGCGGGGTGGAAGGCGGGGCACGCAGACCTTCCCCAGTGAGTCCAAGGGTTTAGAGGGGTGGGAGGGCCATCTGGTGGGAGTGGGGGAGCTCTCTGCAACTTTCCGGTAGGTATCGCGGATAGTTAAAGGGGCGTGTGCCACTGCAACATGTCTCCAGTCCCTGGCTTGCATCCCAAGAATAACTGGGAACCTGGGGCAGGGTGGATACCTGAAGGAAAAGTATATTTTCTCTCCGGTTCAGGTCTAAGCTCACTCGCTCCTGCTGATTGGACATGGAGGGTTTGGAGGAAGGTAAGGAAGCCCTGGAGGGACGGATGAGGCCTTGCTATCGAGAGCCGCCTCAAGCAGGGACCAGTGGCTGGCATTCATTCTGCTTTCCCCTTCAGATGTCAAGTTTATTGTGGATGAGACCTTGGACTTTGGAGGTCTGTCCCCATCTGACAGGTACCAACTACTTTACCCCATTTATCTCCCTCCAACAACACCTCTTTGGCCTTACTGCTGAATTATTGGCCTCGAGAGCCAGGGTTGGTAATTTAGCAAAGTTTGAAGCACTGGGGCTGTTAGGACACTACTGGTAAGGGAAGGGAAAGGAGAAACAAGTGATTTTTCAGGGCCTTTAAGAAGTGTATGTGGATTTGTTGCATCTTCATCCTCCCAATGTGAGTAAATGCTAAAGGCCTATTAGAGCTCAGAGAACCAAGTATCTCATCACCTAGAGGCCAGGTCTCACAGCCAGAATGGATGCTAGTTTGGAGTTTTGTTTGGCCTATCTTGCACAGTCCCCTGCTCCTTTTTGTGTGGTCTTGGTGCCTTGTTTATTTTCTGTCTCAGTCGTGAGGAGGAAGATACAGCAGTATTGGTGACTCCAGAGAAACCACTCCGACGGGGCCTCTCCCACCGAAGTGACCCAAATGCAGTGGCCCCTGCACCCCAGGGTGTGAGGTTCAGCTTAGGCCCTCTTAGTCCAGAGAAGCTGGAAGAGATCCTCGATGAAGCCAACCGGCTGGCAGCTCAGTTGGAGCAGTGTGCCCTACAGGATCGGGAGAGCTCAGGTCAGGGCCCACGGCCTCTCCGAGGGAAGCCCAGCCCTCGACGGGAGACCTTTGTGCTGAAGGACAGCCCTGTCCGAGACCTGCTACCCAATGTCAGCTCTTTGGCTTGGAGTACACCCTCCCCAAGCAGCCTGACACCTCGGCTCCGGAGCAGTGATAAGAAGGGGTCAGCCAGGGCTCTTAGAGTGACACCTGGAAAGAGGCCCTCCAGTGTGAAGAGGGTGAGTTTGGAGGGCTGAGTGACATGTGCACCCCTAGACATAGTGCATGACATGTTGAAGGCACAACAGTTTCCTCATTGGTCAAGGAGAACAGTAATTCTGTCTCTAGAATTGGAATTGAATGAGATACATTGGAAAAGTGCTATACTACAATGTAGAGGCTAATGATTATAATAAGCTCTCAATAAAAGTGGTGTTGATGGTAATGATGGTGTTGATGATGTTGGCAGCTAGCTTCTGCTTTTCCTCACTGGGATCTAGATAGCTCCCTGCCTCTCTAGTCTTTAATCTCTTATGCCAGCAGAACCAATATGCTCTACATTCTAGCTCCCCTCCCCACCTTTTCCATGTCTCTCTCTCTCTTTTAGGAATCACCCACTTGCAATCTGTTGCCTGCATCCAAAAGCCCAGCATCATCTCCTCTTGTACAATCAACTCCTCCACTCCGGGGCAAGGCTGGGCCCAATGCAAGGGCAACAGCAAGTGAGACTGGGCAGCAAAGCTGTGGGTGATGGGGGTAAGGAGGAAGTAAAACTTACCTTGAAATGCTTCTACTCCTTTATAACAGGGCCACCTACCCATGTCAGACAAGCCTTGGCTCCACAGCCTTCAACCAGCAACTCTCAACGCCATTCTCGGCCACAGGGGACAGCTACTAAGGCTTCCAGTCGACTCCCTGTTCCTTCAGCTATCCCCAGGCCCTCTAGCCGAATGCCACTCACCAGCCGGAGTGTACCACCTGGCAAAGGTGCCCTCCCTCCGGATTCTGTGTCAACTCGAAAAGGGCCTCTAAGACCAAGCACTGCAGGGCACAAAGGTGAGAAAGAGTGAACATAAGGATACAAAATCAGAAGGAAGAAAACCTAACTTGGCTCAGGGTGACCTCATCCTCCCAGAGCTGGCAATGACTACTTTTGACATCTTCCATTTGAAGATGAGGAGACTGAGTTAAGCAGAGAATGTGGGGCCCAGTAGAGATTCTCAGGCTTGGTTTCCAAGTACCTCATATTTTTTCCCTTGATAGAAGTGTGTGTGKGGGGGGGTGCACTCTGGCTTTATCCAATATTTCTTTTTTGAGAAGGTCAGTTGAACTTTCTGCTAACACATTTCTTTTGTTGACCCCTATCAAGTTCCTATTTCCCAGCGACCAAACCTTCCTGCTGCTAGTGCCACTCGCAGCAATCTGCAGCCTCCTAGGAAAATTGCAGTCCCTGGACCTACCAGGTAAGGCTGGTCCCTCTGCACCCATCACCTGGGCTTCCAAGCTACTGTGCACAGAAGTCCAGAATTCTATATAGAGAAGGGGTGATCAGGAAGGGAGCCAGCAACAGGGAGTCCTATTTCTTCCCACCCTGAAGAGCTTGAACTTGATGGGTGACAGGTGAGCTAAAGGAGGATGGGCACTTTTAAAACAGTTCATTCTTCTGTTTCTTCAGGTAAAGAAATCAAGACGACGAGCAAGAATTCAGTAGCAAACCACTACAGTCACTGCCTGGATTCATTTATAATAGCAGGCCCTGATTCCATCAGATTCTAGCCCAGGGACAGGAGAAAGACATGCCGCCAAGGTGATAACCCCCCAGGAATATAGACCATAGGAGATGGGGTGGATTTGAGTTTTACTGAAATAGATTCAAACTCTCTGGACTGAAAAAAAGATGAAGAGAAAAGAGGTGACCTCGTAGCAGTGAAATTAGCAAAAAAGAAAATGAAGAATTCTGGCAAATTGCTTGTGCTCTCCACCCCCACTCTTGCGGTCAGCCCCAGAGAATTTGATCTTCTTCCCAGGCCTTGGTTCAGTGGATGAGTCCATGTGAATGGCCTCTGTAGCCAGCTTCTGCTCTCTGAGGATAGGTCTTCCTGAATCACATCCTCTACTGGACTCAAGCCTGTTTGGAGAGGCAAGGCAGGCATCTGGTCTCCAGAATTTGTTTCCTGTGAATTCTGTGACTCCACATAGGCTAGTTGATGATAAGCTTACTCTGTGTTTCTTTAAAATAAAATGAGTGTATTTTTTTTTAATTTCCTATATATCTGGAAGTAAATTCTGCTCCAATTCCTAATAAATTTGTTGTAAACCTCTGTGTAATTCTATTGAGAAAGCCGAGATAGGCCTCCCAGGCAGGGGCCTAAGTAGGTCCTAGGGCCTTGAGCTTCTAGTTCATCCAGCAGTAACTTCCCCTCTTGTTGGCATTTGATGGGAACAAGCTGTCTTTCTGTAGATTCAGATATTATTAGAAGGTCCAGGTCAAAGATAAGTGTAGCTTAAATCACATGAGGCAGTTATGCTAGGATCTAGGTAAATTATTATTCATATCCTAAACTTGAATGTCCTTTTCTGTCAAGACAATGGAGCCTCCTTGTCTGCTGAACTTACTGGTTGAGAAGTTCCTTTGGTGACATTCAGCTTCCCTGATCGCCTCAGACAGAAGATGCTGGGACACCTTGTCGTATTGCACCTCACATCATTTGAGTTGTCTGTCCTCTCATCTCCCCTACTGGACTTGAGAGCTAGGATCAGAATTTATAAACYTCTGCAGTGCCCTAATATTGTGACTTGAATGTAACAGAGCATTTCATTCATTTATTTAGAAAATGTTTTGAATAAATGACAAGGTATACTGGGCTGGGGATGTGGCTCAAGCGGTAGTGTGTTCGCCTGGCATGCCCACGGCGCTGGGTTCAATCCTCAGCACCACATAAAAATAAAATAAAGAGGTTATGTCCACTGAAAACTAAAAAATAAATATTAAAATAAACAAATAAGGTATAAGATGGTAGTTATTGAATAAATGATAAGGACCCCCTAACAGCTTAGGGTCTCCCATTTTTTGCAGGCTTTGACTCTTTTTTTTTTTCTTTCTTTTTATTAGTTGTAGAGGGACAGGATGCCTTTATTCTATTTTTATGTGGTGCTAAGGATGGAACCCAGTGCCTCACACATGCTAGACAAGGGCTCTGCCACTGAATTACAGCCCCAGCCCCAAAGCCTTTGACTCTTGCAACCAGAACCAACTCAGTTCATTTTGAATTTTAAAGGAAATTCCTTCTTCAAAGGCAAGGTCATGACTTAAGAAATGCAGCAGGCCACTGGGCAGAAGAAAATGGGACTGCCAACTGGTGTCCCTGCTTGTGCCTGTATGCCCTTAAGTGCCCTACTTAAACTTTAAGTGCTCCTCCTTGTCCCTGCTTTTCCCTTTTTGTGGCTGATCCTAAGGTTAATTTAACACATCCACCTACATCCCATGACAGCTGCTTAGACACTAACTTTTCCCTGAGCTTGCAGCAGCTCCTAGAACCCCTGAAATTCCAAGAACCGATGTTGGGGGAGAGGCAAGGAGGCTGACATCAAGTTGTTTGTTCTGGAGAAATTCAGCATAAAGAAAAAAAAAATTCAGGTGTGTTTCCCCAGTTTCCTGCCTGCCTTGTGTCTAGGGAGCAGGTCCTGTTGGCACCTTCAGCAAGCCTAGGGACACGCACAGCCATGACCAGCAGGCGGCACCTTTGTGTGAGCCAAACCTTCCTTGGGTCATTAGAGGCAAAACAAGCAGCAGACCTGTGTGCTGTTGCCCCCTGGTGGGCTAGAGAGGAAACACATGTTCTGTTCACACCCTGGGTCAATCTTAATGTTTTGCCCCCACCCCCAGTCCTTCCACTCCAACTAAGCAGCATTCAGTTGGCATACCTGCTGCAGCTGACTTTCTTGTTCAGCTAACTGCTTACTTCCTTCCCTTGGCCTGGCTTTCTGTCTTTCTGTCTGTGCATTCTCCTTCCACTTCCCTTTCCACCCCAGTAGCAACAAGAAAAGCCAGTGTTTATTGGCCTCTTGCTATGTACAGTGAACTGTTCTAAGCACTTTATATGTGCTAACTCATTTAATCCTCATAAAAGCTCAATTAGGTGGCTGCTGTTATCATCATCCTCGTTTTGCAGGCAGAAAAACTAAGGCTCAGAGAGATTAAGTCACTCAGTCTGGTTCCAACGTTTGTGTTCCTAATTGCTACCCTATGGTGCCCCATGTTAATTCCCTTTCTAGTCTGTTGAATGAACCTTTGAAAAACACAAATGTGGGATTAGAGGTAATGTTGCAGAGCACATACTTAGGTCCAGTATGAGAAGTTGCTTCATTTTCCAATGGAAAAGGGCTCACAGTGATAGAGTCAGGACTTATCTAATCACTGAGCACTCTTAAATTCCTACCTGCCACTCATCTCGACTCTCCCTATTGAATTCTGCCCTAGAAAACTTGTCTCTGTTGAGCACTCAGTCCTGAAGCTCGAAACCTGCCCTCTCTGTGCCACTTCTCCAGCCACTCAAGTCCCTCATGAAAAGGACATGCTTTCCCAACCACTTCATCTTCCTTGGAACTGCCAGGACTTGGGCTCTGTGCTGATGAGGTTCTTGGGGAACATTGTTGAGGAGATCCATAGATGGGCATGTTTTTCAGAAGACTGGTATCAGAGGCCTGATTTCCTGCTGGGGTTTTCCAGGCCCTTTCTGATCTTTTGTTTTCCAAAGCCCAGGCATCCATCCTCTAAGAGGACAGGGGACCACATGGAAGCACATGACAACACACTACCTGCACAGAACTAGTTTATTCAGTGGTATGGGGAATGGAAAAAAAACAACAACAACAAAACTCTACCATATTTACAGTAACAATCAAACTGTACAATCTGATGGTTAGTATCAAGTTAGCATCCAGCATCTTTGTATTTTTTTTCTTTTTTAAATCAAGTCATCAGTAGTAAAAACCAGTTAAATTTTTAACCCTTTGCAGGAATTGCTGAGGAAAAGGGCAGAGGGCAGGAGGAGAATACATGGCAGAAAAACCAGAGGCCAGCCTTCCAGGTGAAGAACAGGAACACCTTTTCCTGCCCACAGCCTCTTTTTCTAGCCACCTGCTCCAGAAGGAAAGTCAGTGACAAGTCTGAAATACATGCTTAAAGGGAGACTCAAAATGAATAGCGATTGGCGAAACTGAGGGGAAGAAATGGAGCGAGGGGAAGGGCGTTAGGCCCCAAAGCCAGGGCTGCTGGGTACATACCCAACCTGCGATGGCCACATCAGACCCCCTGGGACCGGACAGAAACCCATCCCAACACAAAAAGCAAATAAATAAAAAAAATATATTAACTCTCTCTTCACAGGGAGCTGGGGTAGAATAAGGGACAAAGAGGAACAGGACCTGGTCCTTTGAAGAAGAGAGCCAATTCCAAGAAGGGGTTAAAAATAGAACATGTCTCAGAGGCCACAGCAGGTCAGACAAAGTGGCATTTGTCTGATTTGGGGAGAGTGGGTGGGTGGACACCAGAACCCAGACTTCATATCTGTGCTTGAGGCCCTTTGGGCAATTGAGCCAGCTCTGTGCTTCCTCCTCCTCCCAATCCCACCCACATGACAGCAAAGAAGCGCAACTTAACACACGACTGGCCTTCCCCAGGTGCGGGTCAAGGGTCAGGCAGGAAAAATGAAGCACTTTGGGGTCAGCAAACTGAGCAAACACCTGGGCTACAGCACGTGGCCAGAGTCCAGGAAAAGGAGAGGGGCTGGGGCAGCCGGCCCCCGCCTGGGGACGCAGGCTCCCCTTAAAACGTGTTCATGCAGCATTTGGGGGTCCAGGGGCGATGAGTCCTTCTGCCCCTGGCCGGACAGGGCTTTTTCAGTTCCTGGGAGAGGCAGCAATGGGCGGATAAGGAACGCCCTTTGCCCTGACCCCTCACCAGCTGAGGCCTGCCCGGTGCAGCCTGCAGGGTCTGACACCCCAGGTGCGTGTGGCTTTGTCCTTTCCTTTTGGTGATGGCAAATGAGGGGCAGGCCCCCTAAGAGTCCCTCTCCTCCCAGAGGCACAGCAGATGGGAAACTGAGGAGAGGCTGGGAAGCGTCCTGGGAGGTCCTATCCTCTTTGGGAAGGGAAAGGGGAGTCAGTTTCCAGCGTATAAAAAAAATTAATCCCTGAAGTCATGAAGAGTGGAGATCCTTTTTAAATTCTTTTTTCCTCTTTTTCTGAAAAACTTTGTCTTGGAGATGTTGGCCCCAGGGGTCCAAAGTGCAGTGAGGGGAATGGTGGGGAAGGGAGTTGGCACTAGATGGCCTTAGGTGCAAGGCCCAGGCTCCTCAGATGGACGTTTCGTCGCTGCTGCGGGCAGGCGGTGGGGAGCAGGGGCAGGATAAAGCACAAGACAGGAGTGGGGGCATGAGTGCAGCTGGGGAGGGGAAGGGAGCCTC